GACTCATAATATATTTAAAGATTTGCTGATTGTTAATATCAAAGATTTAAAGATTTTTAAAATCAAAGACTTCATGTTGGACACATTTACCTTCCATAATTATAGTGTAAATATTTCCCACTCTCTCCATACATATATGTAAGCTGGTATGTTGTTACGGGAATGGACATCCTTCATCATTTTTTCTTTATTTTTGTATATTGACCACCCCACAACTTAGGTCATATGGCGTTGAACAGGAAACAGGATATATTTCAACTTTACAAACTTAAAGCAATATCAGGGGTAAAAAATACTTCTCCTAAGAAATGCGTAGACACTAGTTATTCAAACCAATTAAGTGTTCTCTTTCAATCACACAGAGATAAAAGATGGCGGCAATTCTGATGCCTCAACCTTTAAAGATATTTTCCCAGCAACAAGGGGGCCTTCATCATGCAGATTGAAAATCTTCAAAATTAACTTGATATTTTCATAGCATTTATCTTTTGTAGAAAAAACTGTTGAAATGCCCCATCATTGATTAAATGATTAGAACATGCTAACTTTTTGTCCTTGTCAGCCTGTCTGATGAAACATTTGACATTTTAATTCTATATGTAGAGGCTTCAGACTTATTATCAACAAGCCTCTGGATAAGACATACTGATATGCATGTTTGACCTTTACCTTTTTGTAAACTTAAAACCGCCGTAACAATGGAAGGTTCAAAATTCAGGAAATATAACTTTAAGAGACCAATTAAACCTCAGTAAGAAAAGGAAACATTTTTTATGATATTCAAAAGATGCTTTTACATTGAGAAAATAGCATTGGATGTAAAAGTATCTGAACTTCTATGTACTAATAAAAAGCAAAAATAACAAAGAACTGACAGAACTCATAGACCTTTTTGGGGGCTAAATGGGCCTTTAACAATATGTCTACTTTGGATATATTTATTTGTACAAAGTGTGTTCAATGATACAATTTAGATTCTAGTTCGTCAAGGCAGCTTTTAAGGTTGAACAAGTGAATTTTACAAACTGTTTTAGTTTTTTATAAGCACTTGTATATATACGTAGAATTGTAAAAAATCAAATAATTTTAGTAATATTTATATTTATATTTAGTTATATTTCCAATTTTTGTTCTATTTCTTGTATTTGATGATAAGATATATTACTATTGTAATTCACTGAATTCTGGTAACATGGTATAAAATAATGTGATAAAGAATATGTAATAGAAAGAGCACCGAAACACGAGGCTATCTGATTTGTACGAGGGGGCGTAGCCTGCACTCCAGTTACCGCACTGTGCATGTATATGTATACGATTTAACTCTGACACTTTTTCAACAGAAAGGTCCCCAAACTATGATACAATTGAAATATATAGGGGTACAGTAAGGTTAGAATAATTAAACTGGTATTCAAATTACTAACCCATTCCTGACTCTTCCGTATTTTATTGTTTTTTTTTGTGGGGGATGGAAGAGAATTTTTGAATATTTGAGTCACAAAATAAGTCAATTTCGGGTAAAAAAAATGCCCATTAGATTAACAAATATTGAAACCCCTGGTAACAGTAATTAAAAATTCCAAGGTTAATGTAGGACTAGTCTGTTTCATAATGTTGACAATGTTATTATGAGTTCTTGCTTTGCTCAATAGAGAAAATGAAATATTTTTTTATCATAGAAAGCATCAATATAAATAATAGAAAATTGTTTATGAAAAATATAGAAAATTTTACATAGTATTTAAAAGCACCATGCCTCCATGGCACCATTAATGCAAATTTTCATGAAAATGTTATTAAAATAACGTAAAGTGATATCAATTAAAAAATAGCAAACTACGCTTTCAATCCACATACATTAACAAAACGAGATTAAAATATGCAAAGAATATCCTATACTGTGTTTGAAACGCAACAGAAATATAGTGATATATACTGTAAAATCAGAATCCCACATCAGATAAAATATTCCTTGAATCTTGAATTGTTTTATTTAATTTTTTTTCTTAAAATATTTTTGGCTTATCTGGACGCTTGGAAATGCTTGAAAAGGTTTATATTATAAGTTGTCAATGTGAATCATGTAAATTTACTTATTGAATAACAATCTAGGAAAATACACCTTAAATTCTATGAAAATTATGTTTTGTTTTGTATAATCAATAATGATGTAGATTTATGTGTTAAGTTACATTTGTGTCATAAAACATGACGTTGTTAAGGTATCTTTGTGATTTGTTATATTTTGTCATTTGTCTGTGTAATTTAATGTTCTGTTCTATATCATGTTTTATCAGAGAAAATATCAAGTATAATTTGTTTTGTTGTGATTAATTATTCTGTTTAGGCTGATTGGAAAATAATGAATTGGCAGCAAAGACATATTTTGTGTACTTTTAAGATATGTTAACATTTTTGTGCAAAAGAAAAGAAAATCAAAACCCCAAAGAACAAAAGCAAGTACAGTTTTTTAACATTGTATAATCGTCAAGCAAAACTGTTGGCTATGCACATCATTTGGAATTCCAGCTATTTTACTGTTCCCAATGCTGGATAGTAAAATAAAATCCTGGACATTATTATGATTTATTTATGTTTACTGAGGGGAACTATTCAGTGAGAGTCAATGCTAGAGTTAGCGTCTTATTCACCGACTGTAACCATAGTCCAGAAGACATGTATACAGTTTTAAACAAGGGGTGTCACTGACAATCCACTGACTGTACTTTGTTTGTTTGTTTCATTTTACGCCATCGTTTCTGGAGAGTTACACCAGTACTAAACTACCTTTCTCCGCGCTTAACTACCAAAGCATCTCCCAGAGGATCGAACCTACGCCAGAGAGGTAACTGGATTAGAAGTAATCGATTCTAACCCCTCGACCTAGGAGGCGGTTCCCAACTAAACTTAAAATATTTTAGATTTTTAGAATGATAAGGTAGCACATTTTGTTTGTTTATTGTTGTACGCAATAACGATTAAACAATATATCCTATTATAGATAAATTTTAATGTCTGTTAGGATATAAGAATGCAAACAGAAAAAATGTAAAAAAAAAAAAAAAAAAAAAAAAAAAAAAAAAAGCAAAAGCGCCCTTGTCTTGTCATAAAGAAACAAATGTTATCTCATCAGTCTAAGTTTTCTTCAGCTGTTGGTCTTGTACACCTCGATTTCGAGTTATCAAGTTTCTTTACCGGTCTTAGGCTAAAACCCGACCACCTCAATAGAAACATATTTATAAATGTGTGTAATACAATAAACGGACAACAGGAAATAGTACGATGAAAAAAGAATACAGTACAAATAAGCAAGTTTATTATTTACAAAAGAGATGAAAATATCTACAAATGGAAAAATGAAAATGAAATTAATTAAATAGATAAAAATAAATCAAAAAGTCCTACTCTTTAAAGTAAGTCTTAGAGTAACAAGTTGCAATAAAAAAGACACCTATCTCAAATTCCGTATTATCCTAACAATCTGCATGCTGGCTCTTGTGTTAAGTATTAGCCATTCTGATCTAACATCAGAATGAACCAAGTCACAAGAAGAATACGAAAAGAGGATACTCGCACGGTACGGTCTGAGCGATAAATCCTTTAACTCATGTTGCTCTCTACCCTCCTAGGTATAAGAGTCATCATAACTGGCATTTACTTCCGGTTATTAAATGTTCCTATCTGTCTTTGCCTTATCGTAACGGGTTCGTTCACTAGCATCGCTGATTATCGTCATATAGCCCTCCTTGTGTATCGTGTCGGGGTTGTAATCTACAGGCTTCCAGCTGCTATAATCATAATAATACCTCCGCTGGTTCTTATATTTAACGAAGTTAGGTGTCACTGCTTGTCATCGGATATCTCAATGCAATTAATTCTATTACAAATGTTACATAACAAGTTCTCAAGGAAATTTATAAATGACATATAAACTAGAGATAAATAAGAATCCCTAAAGAAACCCCAAAACAGGGCCCCAATTTAAAAATAATTAGGGTTGGGCGGGCTGGGTTTTGGATTGAGCCTGTTAAAGGGCGGTACTTTTTGGGCAAGTTCCCCTTTCCAGGGGGCCCCCTCTACCACCGGCAAACCCCAGTTTTTAAAAAAATTAACATTAATTGGAAAAATTTTGGGAAATTATGAAAACATCCGCATGGCCATTACATCATGGAACCTTCAATGTGACCATGTTAGTGCCATTCCATGAAAGTGAACAAATTGTTGAAATATGTTACATGAAATAAAGTAATGGCACAAACAAATAATTATAAAAACTACCTTGCAGCCAGTACAAATTTTTATTTTTTTACAATACAGTTTATGAATAAAATCGCATACATGAATTTAACAAGATGCATGACCGACAAAGAAAAATAACGGCGTTCCATATTTTGAATTTATATTAAAACACGTATACAATCTGACAATAGTGGCAACAAAGTGTTTGCATATACAATTTTAAAGTATTGTCATGTACAAAACTAGGGCAATTTTCCATCAATATTTGAAAAAAGCAAAAAAAAATGTACGGCAAATTGTAATGATGAAGACGGAATCATCAGCACTTCAGTAAAAAGCAAATACCAACATTTAAAAACCGCTGATTTTACGTGAATATGTATCATATGAAAATACAAAGCAAAAATTTAAAACTGCAAATATTCGGCAAAATCAACTCAAAATATATTTATTGAAAAATTAATATAGCGTCACTTACCTTGATCCATAGAGAAATTCACTTGCTAGGTTACCTAAGTAACTTTTGCAAAGAAATGCCTCTTTTTAAGGTCACCTGACTAAGAGTTGAACATTTGGAATGACAAGTTCTCTGCCATTTGTCATTATCCATAATTTCATTAAACAACTTTTACTTCTAAACCATATGGTGAATTTTGAACAAATTTGACAGTAATGATTCTTAAGTGGCCCTCTAAAAATAAATAAAATTATATTCACGGTTTGACGCATAAGTACATTGCAGATCACAAAAAAAGAGAGAAAAATAAAAAAATAGATTTTAAAAATATTTTCTTCTGGCACAGCCTGTTATTTTATCACTTAAATAATGCATTATAAAAACACTTATGTAATATCCATTTTAGTCTATGTACATGTACAAAACAATCACATGTTTAACATAAATAATAAATTATCTTTCTCACATCCTAATTTTACAGCCAGATATAAAAATGTCAAGCACATGATTAATTAAAATGTGTTTAGAATAAAGGATAGATTTCTTGAAATAATAAATGGGTTTATATACATATAGAATTCAAACATATTGTACATGTTTAACCATAGCAACAGTAAAGGCTAATGCTTATAAGTATTTACCCTTTCCATTTAGGAATGACTGAATGTTATTAAATATTTGTTTAACAAAATACATTTACACATAACTTATGATGTTTAGCAGTAATGTTCCTTTACTTTTTATGTCTCTTATTTATCATAATTTATAACTTTCTTATTTTCCATTAAGTGCTGACGGAATTGTATTAAATATTTCAAGTTTCTGGGGTTTTTATAATAACAAGAAATATTTTACATATATATAATATGCTGTTTAGTAGGACTGTTCCTTTACTTTTATATGTCACTCTTCCATCATAATTTATACTTGAGTTATTTCCACCTCTTTGTTGTACATTCTATACCCTGAAGTTTCCCATTACAGATAGAAGTGTGCAGATATGTATCTTTGCAGCATTGTTTCTCCTCCTTAGATTTAGAGACATCAAATAACACTGTAAGGCATCCCTTATTCTACCTTCTTGTTCCATACATTTTCCGAGAATATTTAAAGCTGTTTCCCGGTGTCCAAGGTCTGGTTCGGTTATTATGGTTCTGAGAAGATTTGAGAGAGCTGATTGTTTATCATTATTTCTTCCAAGATTGCTGTTAACCTTGTATTGTAGAAAGTAGAGGAAAGGAAGAGAATCCACCACAGCATTATCCATCCAGAAATCATCTTCTGTACGAAATGTTCTATCCTCTTGTGTAGATCTTACCATTTCATATCTGAGTTCTAATGCTCTATTTTATCATAATTTATAATTTTGTTATTTTCCATTTAGGGATGGCTGAATTTTATTTAATATTTACAGATTCTGTTATTTTTGTTGTTGTTTTTTTATAGCAAAAATCATATTAAATATTTATAATATGTTGTTAAGCAGGACTTTTTCTTTAGGTTTATATGTCACTCTTCCATCATAATTTATACTTGAGTTATGTCCACCTCTTTGTTGCACGTTCTATGCCCTGAAATTTCCTATTACAGATAGAAGTGTGCAGATATGCATCCTTGCAGCATTGTTTCTCTCCCTTAGATTCAGAGACATCGAATAACATTGTAGAGCATCCCTTACTCTACCTTCTTTTTCCATACACTTTCCGATAATATTTAAAGCTGTTTCTCGGTGTCCAAGGTTTTGCTCGGTTATTATGGTTCTGAGAAGATTTGAGAGAGCAGATTGTTTTTTGTTATGTCTCCCAAGATAGCTGTTAACCTTGTATTGTAGAAAGTAGAGATAAGGAAGAGAATCCATCACAGCATTATCCATCCAGGCGTCATCTTTTGTAAGGAATATTCTGTCCCCCGGTGTGGATCTTACCATTTCATATCGGAGTTCAGTGGGTACACAGTGAATTTCACATGGCAAAAATATGACACATGATGCTGTGGCATATTGTATGACATCTTCAGTATGATTGTCACATGTCGCAGAGAATCCTTGTTTTAGATGAATTCTTTCAAAGTTATAACAACCATAGGCTGGTTCAACAACTTGCAGATCATAACTTCCTTCAATCTCACTGAGAACCAGGTCAGCTTTTTGCATTTCGTGTACACAATATAAAATTGAAACCAATTTCAGTTTACTTGAAGCAACATCTATATTCAGACCAAGTGAAATGAGTTTGAGGGCATCAGCTGATACAGTGTTGTGCTGATTGATGTTGATGGAGGCCAGCAAAGATCCAAGGGTTGTACAGTAAATTGGAAACAAAAGTTGACAAGCTCTCTCAACCAATCCTTCACATTGATCATTTAATATCTTAGATATACAGTTTGTCAATGTCTGTACAGCTTCATTAGGACGTTTGTTTTTAACAGTGGAACTAATAAAAAGAAGTGAATTTAAAATTGTATTAGCTGTTTCAAGTAACAGAAATCCTGAAATGTATTCACTTGTCTTATATGGACATAAATTATAACACTTGAGATGAAGTCTAGACCCAAGATCATCACATTTAATACCAAGAAGTGCCACTCCTTCACTGTTGATTATGTTGTTGAGTAGTTCCAGGATATATGGTTTGACTACAGGTGATATCTTACCTCTCATCAAATTATACTCAGGTATGAAAAAATGTGGACAGTTTTCATTAATGATATTGTTATACAGGAGATATAAGCACAGTAATAGACAAGAAAGTAAATTGTTTTCTCTCCAGATATTTAAATGTGAATTGGCAATACATTTGAATAGTACAGTTTTACACATGTAACTGGAAATTACATCTTCAAACTGTGGCTTAATGTATGATTTTAAAATCATTTTCATCAAGACATAACAGCGAATCTGTGTTATATTCAAATTTAACATTAAACACCTTTCAGCTAAAGATGTTGATATTCTCCATTCAAGTTGCTCATGTTCACTCCCTCTACATCCAACAGGAACAACAAAGCATCCAGTTCTACTGCAATATTGTTTCATTTCAGCAGACGGCCAGTGAGCATCACCTTGTTGATCCAACCATTGTCTAGCTTGTTGCGGCCATGATTTACAGTGCAGAGCCAGCACATTGTCTGCATCAAGGTAACCATTTGGCCCTTGTTCAACTCTTGCTGGTCCATGTAATGGTAATTTGTCGAAATATCCAACAGACACTATCGATTGTTTTAGCAGTATTTTTCCTGTTCTGTCTCTGAAATAGTATTGATTAGATTCTCTATCAGCAGGAAGAGGAGCATCAGGTCTTAGCACTTGAAGTAAACAATATCCAGGAGATACAAAATTATCTTGAATCATCAAATAATTATGTACACCAGGTATCCATTTACACCAGTCTTGTATTACAGGAATATCATTAAAACAATAAAGTAGATCTATGTCTGACTCTATCCCTATGGTAGTTGTTCCTTCTGATTGACTCCCGAAATAGTTTACTGTAAAAACACTGTTTTTGTGTATTTTGTAAATCACATTTTCAATTGATTCTTTCAGAAGCATTGTTCTCCTCCTCTTCAGCACTATTCTCTCATCAACTCCTATATCAGATAATACTTCAGATAATCTCATTGACACAGTCTCGGTGTAATTTGGTCCTTGATACATTCTGTAAACATAATTTCTAAGATATCAATTTATTAAATCCTTTTTTAATTGATACTATTTGGTCAGATGATAATTGGTAATTATAATGTATTCAAAACAATTTTGCTTTTTTAAACGCACTTTCCAGTGTTTAATAATTAAGAAGTATATTTCATCAATTGTAAATTCTTGTTTTATTTATGGATGTGGTTTTAGTTGATGATTCTTTAAGCAGTAAGTCTGTATGAAATGAAGCTCATCATTGATCTGTTATATACATGTACTATTTTATTTTCTTATACTCTTAACATTACACGTTTTATTAGTATTTGAAATTGCCTTTTGTTTATATATGCAGTGAGGTTTATATATTACGGTAAAACATTTCTTTTATTCATTTTGCATTTGTAAATCAGAAATATTGGGTTTTTCTTTAGTAATTTAATTTCCTCTTTCCCTTTCAGTTTTAATTAGATAACTCTTTTATGAATGTTTATATATTTGACATTTATTTTCTTCCTTCGTTGAAGTTTTCTGTCTGAAGTCCATTGAAAGACAAACATAGGTTACATCATAGAAATGGGTCAATAATTGTAAAATTACTATAAAATTATCTCGGAAGTGGATGCTAGGCAGTCATTTACTTCCGGAGAATATTTAATGATAATTTTAAAATGCTTGTGGGTCACATGGGTAAAGAGAAGTACTCATTGTATTCTATGATACTTTAAAATTTGCTAGACTCTTTATCAAAGAAATTCCTGCAATAATAGTTAATGGTTCGGAAACCTGGTCAAAGGCATTTCCCGTGAATACGGAATGTTTTTAGCCCTTGGGTCAAAATTGTCCCCGCACCGGGGATCATGGCTTTTCAATATAAACATAATGTAAAAATTCAAAAAATGTTATTGTCTGAAGGTACAAGGCTTAGAGCTTTAATATTTGTTAAATGATATCATGTATAGGTACTCTACCAAAGTTGTTCAAATTTGCCTCTAATGTCAAAATTAACCCCGCCCTAGGGGCCATATGTTTTCCTTATATGTATACAGTAAAAACATAAAAAATCATCTTCTCTAAATTTACAAAGGATAGAGTTAAGATATTTTGCATGAAACATTGTGTAGTGAACCTCTAGCAAGATTGTGCAAATTATAGCCCGGGGGTCAAAATTGGCCCCACCCCCAGGGTCATTGATTTTCACTATGTACATATAGTAAAAAATTAAAAATCTTCTTGTCTGAAGGTACAAGGCTTAGAGCTTTGATATTTGGTACATAATATCATATATGGGTCCTCTTCTGAAGTTGTTTTAATTATGCCCCTAGTGTTAAAATTGCCCTGCCCCAGAGGCGATAGTTTTCCTTATATGTAAAAAGAAAAAAACTTGAAAAATATTCTTCTCTGAATTGACAAAGAGTAGAGGGTAAATATATGGCATAAAACTATGCAAAGTGAACCTCTACCAAGATTTTTCAAATTATTGCCCTGTGGTCAAAATTGGTTCCGCCCCTAGATTTTGATGATGTGACCTATTTTCTTGTCCCTTAAAGTACAGTTATGAAATTTGAACCATGTGCACAGATTAAGATGTAAATTATTTAGTGAACTTTGATATCAGCTGACCTAGATTTTGAGTGTCTTACTGTGTTGTCATTTGATGTAGTCATGAAATTTAGGCTTTGTGAAGTATGACCTTCACCACCAAATTCACTAGACTCAATTGCATAGATATATTCCTACTCTGAACTTTTAATCGATTAACAATAGATTTAACCACTAATCTGATAATAAGAATTAGATAGGTCATGGATCTATGCACTATGACATTCTTCAATTGTATAGAATAAAAAAAATTTTTCCTACACTACTATTTAGTGTTGTATTAATGCGGTGGCATAGCATTTTTCTCAAATGCAATCTTGTTTTTGTTTTTGTTTTTTGTCTTTCATCCTTATTAAACTCGATATCCACGAAATCAACACTTTCTCTAAACCACACTCATGGTCTATTTTTATCAAACTTAACTCTAATGAACTCCACAAAACTAATATAAATGGCTCAAATCTGATACACAGTAGTCACAGAAGCTCAAAAACAACTTTAAACATGAAATTTTTTGTAATATTCTCCAAAATAGTGCAATGAAAAAACCTAGATCATTGCCTTGTGTTTTTTAACAAAAGTTATGTAAATCATACCCCATGGGGCCAAAGTTAGCCGCGTTCTGAGGTCATTTAATTTTCATAGACTCATGTACAAAAACACATTTGAAAACATGTTACTAACTATGCCCAGAGCTTGCATATTGTTTATGCAGTTTGTATAGTAGACATAGAAAAAGTCCTTATATTTGTTCTCAGTCTGACAGATACATAATGCATCTTTGAAGTATTTATCATCATATTCATTAGTATCCAATTCTTGAAGAATACTAAAAGCTGAATTTTTTTTCTTCCTCTTTCATTAATTCAGCTATTTTTGAAACTCGTTTTTACCTTATAAGTTTCTATTTTTATGCCCCCACAAAGTGGGGAGCATATAGCGTTGCTCTTGTCCGTCCGTCCGTACGTCTGTCCATACGTCCCGAAATCTTGTGAACGCAACTCCTCTTAAACCGGATGACAGACTTTGCTTAAACTTCCAGGGATGAACAACCTTAATGTGTTGATGAAAGTAAAGGAAGGAATTTTCGCTGCGACCAGATTTAAGAGAATTATGGCCCTTTGTTGATTTTTTCACTATATACCAAATAGAAATTTTGTGAACGCAACTCCTCTTAAACCTAATGGCAGATTTTGCTTAAACTTCCAGGAATGAATAACCTTAATGTGTAGATGGAATTTAAGGAAGAAATGTTTACTGCGACCAAATTTAACAGAATTATGGCCCTGTTGATTTTTTTCACTATATACCATATATATGTTGTCAGTGGGGGCATCCGTGTCCTTTGGACACAGTTTTAGTTTTCATTTCTCTGAAAGTAGGAATACAATACTACCTTTTGCTTATTTGTTGTAAATTATAGAAAATGAGGTCTGTACATTTCAACACCTTTCAAGGATACAACATTTCTTATCAATTTCACAATTGTGAAATGTTGGTCTTTTCATACAATAATTTTACTACCTCTTTCTTTTTCAATTTTAGGAAGATAATTCTTTTTATGAATTTATATATATATATATATATATATATATATATATATATATATATATATATATATATATATATATATATATATATATATATATATATATATATATATATTTTATAAATAATGCCAATATTTCGTTTTCTATATATCAATAAATGATTTTATAATTATGATCATAGACAGTCCTTAATTAAATGCACACTGTAGAACTGAATAAAATTGAAATTAGTTCATTTGAAAAATATTTTAATATGTGAATATTCATTGCTTGTTTAAACATGCATTTTAAAAATATTAGACCAGTCTACTTAAGTTATTAGATAAATTACTTATAACATGTAAAATTACTTATAACATGTCAAAATGTGTAAAATATATAAAACTGGTACTATGTAAAGTTCATAGTAACGAGATAAAATAAATGTTGGTCCAGTCATTTGTTGCATAAAACATGTTATGTACCACATACATTTATAATCATTCTTGCACAAGATGTTTTCTTAACGTCTGAACAAGTTTGATTTTATATAAAAAATGTTTGAACAAACTAATTTGTTTATGAGCTGCTAAATACATCGAGTAGTAGATATATATTAAGATACTTCGGCAGAAATATGGACGACAATCTACAATTCGATTTATTCATGCAAGTTAAGTACTGTTATGTATATGATAACCACTGGTATATGTTTGTATATGGTGATAAAAATATGAACACGTTTGTATATAAAAGATGCTGCAGTGCGATATATGAATATATTTGTATGTAAAGGAAGTTGGTAAATGATATATGAATATGTGTGTATATGTATGAGGGTGGTGAGTGATAAATGAATATGTTTGTATATAAGAGGTCAATGAGACGGCACGAATATGCATGAATATATAAGAGGCTTCTGAGACATTTATGAAAATAAATAAAATTGTATATAAAGGAGGATGGTGAATGATATATGAACATATTTATATATAATGGAGGGACATAGGAATATGTTTGTGCATAAGGAACCATTGAGACGACATGAATATATTTATATTTGAGGTTGGTGAGTGATATATCAATATAATTGTATATAAACTAGGCTGGTGAGTGTTATACAAATGTGTGTGTGAATATAAATGAGCCTGGTGAGTGTAATATTAACTTATTATACTTATGTACAGACTCAAGCAAACCGAGTCTGCAATTCTCCTGTAATTTTGTTGTGATTAATGCTTCCGAGGGTTCACTTTATTTCCAGATTTTTTTACTTCACAACAGCAGGTGTTAAGTGTTGCGTGACAGCTTTTAAAAGTTGCCCCGTACGTCACTTCAGTGTTGTTATATTTTTCTGGTCCTTTGGGAACTATTGAGAGTGGAGAATTGAGTACCGCTCAGCCGGTGCTATAGGGGGGCGTGAGGGATGTTGCATGTATTCATTATCCCTCATGTAAAGACTAAATCAAACCGAGTCTGCAATTCTCTTATAATTTTGTTGTGATTAATGCTTCCGAGGGATCACTTTGTTTCCAGATTTTTATTTGTATATACAGGAGACCGATTAGTTATATATGAAAATATTTGTTTATAATGGAGGCTGTTGAAACGACATGAATGTGTGTGTTTTATGAAGTCGGTGAGAGAGTGATATATCAATATATTCGTATTCAAAGGAGGCTGGCATGTGATATATAATTATGTTTGTATATAATGGAGGCTGCTTAGACGTCATGAATATGCGTGTTTATATATGAAGTTGTTGGTGAATGATGAACTTATTTGTATATAAAGGAGGCTGATGAGTGATTTGTGAAGATGTAAATATAAGGGGCTGGTGAATTATATATGAATATGTTTGTATATATTTGAAACGGGTGAGTGAAA